TCCAGTCCTATAAATATCCACTGAGTTTTATTCTGGGAAGCAGCTTGGTTACTTGGAAACAGCCTCACGCATCCTGGTCTGGCTTTTACAGTTTCTTAGACAGAAGTGAATTAAGCTCCATCCGAGTGATCACTGCTTGTTCCAAAGACCAGGACCATCTGTACAGCCTTCCCAGTGTCTGGACAATCACAACGAGTTCCAGCCTGACTGGTGAGCATGGAGCACGCATGGCCATAGGTCTCCCAAGGTCCTTAGGCACCAGGTAGTGCCTCCATTGCCCTCTTTCATAGGCAGATGCCAGCTCAAGGCGTAAGGGACTCTGCACATCTTGGGGTTATTGTCTGGCTTTTCCAGATGTTTGTCCCACAAACTCCAGCTGTGGGCCCCTTGGGCCTCTCTGCTTCATCTTCTCAGCTCTGACAGTTTCTGAGGCTCTTCCCGAGCCCCTGTAAGCCACAGCCCAGCATCTGTCCCAAGGCTCTGATGGACTCCTAGGGAGTGCCTCGTTCAATACTCATCTCTCAGCTTCCCCTCCATCGCTGCTCATTTTCAGCGTCTGAAAATCATTCTTCTAGTGTACTTTGTTTTGGGGTAAAAAGAGAATCCAGACCATACACACTTGGCAGAAGCAGATGCTGACGTTCTCATGGTATCATTTCTCTCTTTCTACTCTTTCTTGGCAGTGCCATCTGTAGCGCAGGCTGGCCTGGAATTCATGATGCAGCCCAGGCTGGATATGAACGCCCCTTGTTTCCTCACTTTCATTCTGGCTATGGAGGTGCCTTCCCTGCAGGCTTATTTGCCATGTTCTGTGCAGCATGACCCTGTAGATGTTGTCCAAGTTGAAATGTCACAGAACAAGCAAGCAGAACCCCCAGCCCTGCTGAGCTTGCCCTCTCCATCCCTCCTCACTGAGATGACAAGCATCAGGCTCTTTAAACAAGAAAGCACACAGAGAGCCCCATGGGAGGGGCACACAGTGGAGCACACCTGAGGGCCACTGCACCTGCTCTCGTCCTACATCTGCCCCTCCCTGCTGTTGCCTATAGGAACTAGGAATGAGGCGGGTGCACAGCGAAAGGTACACTGGGACTCACGGTGGGTGTCAGGGTGAGGAGTGTGGGTACTGGGTTTCCCTTTTGACCTGTCACTCATGTCTCTGTGCTCTGGCAGGGTGCTGACTGTTCACTTCTGTGCCAAGGTGGACATACCTTTCAGGAACAGGCACAGGCACGGGCAAAGACACTGATGTCTCAGGCCTGAGTGGTAGGAGGAAGTCAGGTCTGGATATGGAAATACAGAGCCTGCAGCTGTTAGTGCTTAGCATCCAGGGGCAGAGGTTGGCATGGTGGACTTGAGTGGTTTGAGTCCTGAGCACACCTGTGTGAGCAAGTGTGTGTGTGTGTGTGTGTGTGTGTGTGTGTGTGTGTTTGTGTAGAGTGGCAGGCATGTCACAGGGCTGGGAGGACATGGGCTGGCTCAGTGACCTGGGAAGACAGAGCAGGTAGCAACTACGGGTGTCTGTGCTTCTGTGATGTCTGGGTGGAAGAGTTACTGTATGTAACTCACCATCTCCCCTCTGGGGTGGATCATGGAGGCTAATGAGGCTGGGAGTTGGGGAGTTTGCTGAGTCTCACACAGTGTGCAGTCATGCATGGAGTGTGATAGGCCAGGTGCAGCCCTGTGCTGCAGTCATGCATGGAGTGTGGAAGGCCAGGTGTGACTCTGTGCTGCAGTGAACTTCTGACTGGGCCACTCTGGTACTCAGAAAGGAGCCAGTATCCCTTCTTCTTTCCCAACATTCAGACTTTCAGCCAATGTTTCTTAAATAAACACTTCTACATTGCTAAAGTATTTAGAATTCCCAGAGTTCTAAAATATCCAGTTCTGGAAATTTGTGAATGAAACCAAGTTTCCTTGTTGTATGATGGAGAAACTCTCCCCAGCATCCTTTATCAATGTGCCCCCCCCCCTGCCGCTGCCATGCGCCCAGACACATTCTACTTAGGTCCTTGTTTACTTTACACCAGGAAACTGTGTTTATGTCAGAACAAAGCCCCAACACAGAAAACCAAAATGGGCAAATAAAATAATTGTTGCTCTGATTTCACCCTCAATTTAGAATGGAATTATGAATATTTACAAAATAGGCCACATGTTCATTTCTCCATTATCATACATTTCTCTTTTTCCTTGGTGATGTCATCAATGTTTCGTGTTTCAGCAACATGTTGTCTTAGGGTTTCTATTGCTGTGATGAAACACCCTGGCCAAAAGCAACTTGGGGAGGAGAGGGTTTGTTTGGCTTATACTTTTGTATCTCTGCTCATCCATGAAGGAAGTCAAGACAGGGACTCACACAGGGCAGGAGCCTGGAGGCAGGAGCTGCTGCAGAGGCCATGGAGAATGCTGCTTCCTGGCTTGCTCCTCATGACTTGCTCAGCTGCTTTCTTATAGAACCCAGGACCACCAGCTCAGGGTAGCACCACCCACAATGGGCTGGGCCTTCCCCACTTACCTCTAAGGAAATGTCCTTATAGCCCTATCTTATGGAGGTGTTTTCTCAACCTCACTCCTGTCTGATGACTCTAGCTTGTGTCATCTTGGCATGGAACTATCCAGGGCACATGTCTCTGCCATTTTGAGTAGGTATACAGGAACACAGATGGGAAGATGTACCATGATTTAACAGGTGCCTGGCCACAGCTGCCTCCTGCCTACCACGTTGGAGACAAGCCTCCTTTTATGTTTTTGTGTAGCTGGCACATCAGAGTCTATGCTGCCCATCTTGATGAAGCAGAAGCAGAGGCAACAATTGAATCTGTAATCTGTGCTTTATACGGAGAGTTAGGTAACAGAGGGTTAACACTGCAAAAGTCTGCCACACCCATAAGCTAGAAAACTGAGTGGGAACTAAGACTGTTGGCAGTCAGGCACTTTTCCTCATTGTCCTCTGTCACATTCCTACCTAAGACTCTCAAATTCCTCCTGAAGTACCACTGGGTTAGAGGTTAGCTCAGAGTAAACAAACTGCTAGCCGTGTGTGAGAGAGTCCTGTAGCAGGAGATTTTTCTCCATCTAGTCTCGGTCCCATTAGACCAGTTTCTCTCCACCCAGTCAGGTCCCCACAGCAATCGAGACTACAGAACTGTTCTATATGAGAGTCCTGTCTACAGCACAGACTACAGAGCTGCTCTATTCAATACAATTCTATAGAGTATGAAAGAGCTCTATCTAGAGCCCCTATTGCTTCTCTGATTTCTTTTGATGGGTGAGGGATGGCTCCCTAAAATAAGGTTTCTAGATCAAAGGTCAAAGACTAGGAAGAAGTAGGTGTGTTCCTGAGTCCTTGGAGATGTAAGGACAGGAAGTCTTGTCTTGTTTCTCAGCCTTCACTTCCTGCTCTCTAGTAGACAGTCTGTTCTCCAGACGCATGTTCCTAATAACCAATCCTGTTGGGTAGAAGCCTCACTCAAAGCTGTAAGAAGTCCTCATTGTAGTCCCTTTTCTGGAATCTTCCTTTTGTTATTGTGGTTTGAGTGCTAAATAGCTTAGACCTTGGTTAAGGCAGCTCAAAGGTTCTTGCTGTGGCCCTACTGTGTATCCTGTGTTGGTCCTGAGACCAGGAACACACAGACAAGAGCTACTTTCTAATTCACAGAGATCTCATGCAGGGAAAATTTCTACTTCTGGCCAGAGGTACCAGTGAGGGGATATCTCAGTTAAGAGCAAATCCGATCACGTTAGTAATGGTGACCCTAAGGCATCCTCAGTGGCTTCAAGACATGCCACACTAAGCGATGAGGGTGCCACAGTCAGTGGACTCCTGCAGGTGAACATGCTGCAGTCAGTGCCCAGAGAATGCCCTTCACCAGGGGGCAGCCCCGGACATTCATGAAGGAGTCCTCCATAGATCCTTGAAATATCTTAAGTTCATTAAGTCACTATAGCTTTTGCATCCCTTACAATGGGCAGAAACACCAACCAAAGCAGTGTGTGGCTTCTTCAGACTGTGAGCCCACAGATCAAGGATGCCGTCATCGGCAAAGCCAGTAAATCCTTCCCCGGCTGCAATCCGTGCCCAGAGCAACTTGCAATAACTTTTCTGTCTCTCTAAGAGATGTGATGAACACCTTCCCATGAGAAATTCAGACCTCAGCAGGATCTGGTGTTTGTATTTTGTCTTCCAAATCCCTCTTAAAGGATCACATTCTATGTATTTGCTCGTTTTGTGTTTCTGCTGCACAGTGGAGGCTGGCTCCGTCTCGGGCTGTTTTCTTTCTTACGTCTTAAGTGGTATTTATGGCGTGCATGCACATGTACAAATGCTAAGATGCAACCGGCCAGGCAGACCCAGGCTGGTCGTTCATTCACTGGCAATGTTCTTCATTGATCTCCTCTAGCATGCACACACCTCTCTTGGGAGAGTGGCTGTCACTGAACCAAAGTCTAGTAGAGGAGACAGATGATGAGGAGGAGTTCACAGAGATGCCGGTCAAGGGGAGTGAGACATGGTGCTGGGGTCACGATTGAGTCTCTGATCCAGTGGGGCCCTACATCCAGAGAGAGGTCTTCTCCAGGCAGCACCAGCAGGGCAGGGGGGAGGCAGAGGAGCTTCTGGGTGGTATGCGCTCAGTACTGACAGTCCACACATGCGGTTAGAATGCAGAAGACACTGGAGTGAGAAGTCAATGCTCCCCAGGGCTGGAGTCAACAGCCACCATAGGTAGAGTTACTCTGAAATTCGTGGCCTGAGTGCATGTGGCTTTGAAAGACAATGTGTGCCATGACCACCAGAATGTCTGGTTCCTGGGTGATCCCCACTGTGGAGCAAGTGGCCCCTGAAGGAGGGCGTAATGACCCACCATGTGGCATCAGGCATCCTGCCCTGTGCGCTGAGACAATGATAAGGAGCACAATAGAGCATGTGATTGCATCCACTGAAGGCTGCACGAAGCCAGTCCTCTAAGATATGTTTCTCATCCCGGTGGGTCTCACAGGAACATTGCCAAGGAAATGCAAGAAGGAGCTGCTGGCTGTGAAGCTGAGGAACCGGCCGAGCAAGCAGGAGCTAGAGGACCGGAACATCTTCCCCAGGAGGACTGATGAGGAGAGGCAGGAGATCCGACAGCAGATAGAAATGAAGCTCTCCAAGTAAGTGGCCATGTGCAGACTAAGTCAGAGGTCTCCCCCAGTGCTTGGCAGGGCTCACAGGTGGATGGGGTTAGGTCTGCAGCAAATCATTCAGCCCATGACACTTCCTGGGGGCAGATAGCTCTCTGTTGGGGTTGCCTGCGTGCCCATGGCCCAGCAGCATCTCTGGCCTCTGCCTGTCATGTTCCCTGGGACAATGGAAACTTTCTCATGTATCACCAGAGCACCCCACTGTGAGCCAGCAGTCTGCCCGAGTCAAGGGAGACGTGTGAAGGAGGAAGGGAGGACCTGGCCCAAATTTCAGAGGACATACGTTTTCTGTGATAGGGCTGGTGGCATGCTACCTCTCGTAGCTTCCACCTGCTTACCCACCTCTGAGAACACAGGTTCTGCTTTGCTAGATCATCTGAGTCTGTTGCAAGAAGCTGTGCTTAACGTGGCTGTGTGGATATAGTGTCACACCTCGGAGGAAAGAATGTGCACCACATCCTGTGTGCTCTGGGTTGAGGAATACATTGACAACCTCCTGCACTCAATCACAGTTGGGATCCGGCTCTTCTCCTCTTGCCTCAAAGTCTTGTTGGTGACCCACAAGAACAAGTGATGCCCTACAGGCTCCGAAAGCCACCAAGTGATGGTTGCTCAGCAACCAGGTGGTCGCCCACCCTGGGTGAATACAGACTGTGCTGTGGATCAGGCCAGAGGGGAACTGCCTGGTCTTGGACTACAGAAGGCAGAGCTGTAGAGCGTTTATAGAGCAGTGAAGGGTGGGGCTATGGAGGGCGGGGCTATAGGTCACCTGCAGACAGCAGGGCTACACAGCCTCTCAGGAGTGGGACTGTGGAGTGCCAGGCTACAGAGAAGTTGTAAGAAGCTTAGGTGCAAAAGGTGGGCCTGGAAGCTGTGGAGCTTACTTGGTTTGGGAATTTCTAGGTCTGGGATTCCCTTTTGCTCACAGATCCGGCAACTAATTTTAGACTCTGGCATGTAGTGTAGTAGCTTCAGAGTTGCTTGTCACTACATCTGAAAATGGAAAAGCATCCCAGAATTAGATACAGAGAGCAGGAGGCTGCGAGTCTCCCCTGGAGGTTAGAGGTGGCCTCTGGTGTCCCCGTGTCTTCCCTGCAGGAACAGTCTAATTAGCACTCTGCCTGTGTGCCATCTTGGGATCCTCTCCACATTCTATTGCTAAATAAGTCAGGCTCCAGTTGCTATGGCAACACATCATCTATGGTATTCCCTAGAGTATTTGGGGTTTCCATAGTATTTTATTTTGCTATTTCCAAATCTTAAAATTTTTATCTTCTGTGTGAAAGGATCCTTGTCTCCCCCACACACATACCCTGCATGTCTGGTCTGGGTCCCACAGTGAGACTGTGGTGTCCCCTGCAGGGGTGGAGGTCTGTGATGGTGTCCGTCCTTTCTTGCTGAACTTTCCTTTCAGATGTGTGGAGGTGAGCAGACAGAGTCCTGGTTTCCCATGGGGGAGTGTCCTAGAAATCACGTGTCCCCTCTTTGGTCCTGTCCACACTCCAGTGATAGGGTCTCACATTGTAGCGCAGGTTGGTTTTGTACTGCAGACCCTCCTGCCTCAAGCTTCCCAGAACTGGAGTGACAAGTGTGTGCTGGCTGTCACTTTCAAGTAGACCACGTGCTAGGAGTTGAGCGTTTATCTGCTCCCATCTAAGTCATCCTTGCAGCCGAGCAGTGACAGAGAGGTGCCCTCACTACTTGTTTGTTTCACTTTGGGGAGCGGGTGAGGTTTCTTGCCAGGGTGCTGTGGGAGAAGGAGTGACGTAGGACTCAGACAGTCACAGAGCACCCAGCCTCCTGTGAAGCATCTGGACAGTATGACATAAGCTGCTGCTCTATCTTCGTCATCGCTTGGAGCCGTCTTCTGTGGGTTTGGCTTCATGTGGGGTGTTCAGAGCCCTGGGCCAAACACTACACTGTTTTATGCAAAGATGTCTGTTGCTAGAGTTTCTTGTCCTGCCACCCTTCCCAGCCCCAAATAAACACACAGACACTATATTAATGATAAACTGTTGGCTGATGGCTAGGGCTTCTTATTGGCTAGCTTTGTCTTAATTATTAACCCATTTCTATTAATCTAAGTATTTCCACATGGTCTTGACTTACCAGAGAGGGGTCGGGACCTGTTACTCCTTCCTCCACTGCATGGCGTCTCTCCACAGTGCCTGTCTTCCCAGCATTCTCTTCATCTCCTAGCCCCGCCTATCTTCCTGCCTCTACTGGCTACTGGCCAAACAGTGTTTTATTCATCAACCAATAAGAGAAACATATGTGCAGAAGGACATCCCCCATCAGTGTCTATACCCAAGGCAGGCAGTACAAGGAATGAAAAGCCCCGCCCACCCCCTACATAGGTTAGAGATGCAGAGATGGTGAAAATATCCAGAATTGAGCTTGGCCTGAGAAAGGTAGGTTTAGATGACAATGCCCTATCTCAGTTGTGGCCAGGGGTTTCTGCCACTTTGTACAGTGGAGATGGAGGGCCTGGTAGCTTTGTTAAGATTCTAGGTCACAGGTCACTTAAGGGGAACAAGATCACATTCCTGGCAGGACATACTGACTGAGGACTGCTTCTCTCATGACCAGGCAGCCTCATGAGCTGCTCGCCATAGGCATAAGCCATAGAATCCACCAGCAGGCCTCCTGAGGATTGAATGAATAGGGCCACAGGTGCTAGTAGCCCAAATGGCCTTAGAGCCTCGCTATGGAGCAGATGACAGCCTTGTGCCTAGATAAGTTAGTGGATGTCTTGTCTGGACCAAGACTCTGGACAGGCGAGTCTTGAGTAATGCATTATACAGCTTCTTGTGCAGGATCCCTGGGGGAGGCCTTTGTTCTGGGGCTGAGCGAAAGGCTGATTAAAGCTTGGTAGCCTCCTCCAGGGGTTGGCACTTAGCGCATTAGCACAGCAGTTAAATGATCCCAGCTTCTCTCTGTACACCGTGTTCTGCTGCATCCAGAACAGACTGACTGCTACTTCCAGGCCCACAGAGAACACAGGGTCTCAAGGAAAACAGCACCAGGCACAGACACCATCAGCCAGCCACGTCTCCCCCCTTGTTCACCTTGAGCTCTGCAGCATTTTAGGGGGTTATGTGATGCTCCCGAGGGTGGTCTGTAAATTGGGCACCACTACCTCATTAAATGATGTGGCTGGTGGCCACACATTCTACCAAGGCTGCAAAAGAGGACAGGCATGTTGCAAGTCTTGGGTCCATGGGCATGGGACTTTAGGAACATAGAGTCTTCTGGACTTAACAGGAAAAGTGCCTGCTGCTTCTAGTTGCTCAAAAGCCTGTCCTGTCTGGAGTGTGCACATCTACTGCACAGGCAGAGGTTATACTGCTAATGAATTTCAGAGGGTCTTTGCCTCTTCTCTCTCTCCTTCCCTGACTTTGAATGGGGGTGAGCCCAGCCACCACGGGTACTTTCCAACCAGCCTTGTGAGCATCCCCCTGGAGATAGCCATGATCACAAGGTAGCTGTTGCTCCATCCGTTCTGCTTGTTCAGTGCTGTGCACTCACCATCTCCTTGAAGGCTCACACAGTATCCTGGTGTCCTGGGTGGGTGCTCTGAATAGCTCCAGTTTTCATAAGAGGAAAATGAACACACCACTAAGCCACGTGGCGACAGGTAACTTGAGAATAACCAGTCTGCAGTGTGAGGAGCTTGGGATAGCAAGCATGAACTCACTTGCCCCTACTGGAAGCAACTAGACTCGTAGGAGAGGGTGTAGACAAGCGATGTGATCTCTGCTTTGTGGTTGTACAAATTACGATACATGGGACTGGGGTGATATAGGTTAATTTTATTGGGGAGAAATCACTTAAATGAGAAACCAATAACCCAGAATCAACCCTCCAAGGATCCAAGCTCAGCTGCCCTCTGTGACCTGACCAGAACCAAGAGGAGACCAAGCCTGTTCCTTACCCCAGACCAAACCCCACAGACTCATGCATACCCACCCCTGTGACTATGCCCAAATGGGCGTGGTCAGCACCTCCGCACTTCTCTCACTACACTGCCATCAGTCTGGAGGAAACATGATGCGATGCTTCCCTGAGGCTGGGCAGCTCTGTGTTGTCCCCTTTATGCGGGGTGTGCTTGGAGCCCTTTATGGTTGCTTTAGCCACTCATCCCTTCACAGGGCGAGCCTCGTGGTGTCTCCAGAAGGACATGGCAGGGAACACTGGTCGGGCATTTTTCCTCCGATGCTTTCTGGTTCTCATAATGGTTCCCAGGGGAGGTTTGTGAAGTTCAGATCTCCAGAGCTCCTCCCATCTCCTAAGTGTAGGGGGGAGGAGAGAGAGAGAGAGCGAGCCTTGTATGTGCGCACATGTGTGCGCGTGCATGCGTGTGCCTGTGCTTCTGTGAGTGTGTCTGCACATGGAGGAGCACCTGGCACAGTAAAGTGTGGAGGTCGGGGGACAACCTCAGGAGTTGTTCCCCACCTTACTGACACAGGGTCTCTGTTGTTGGCTGCCATTTACACCAGGCTAGCTGGCCTTGAACTTTCTTGATTCTTCTGTGTCTGCCTCCCATCTCCCTTCAATGCCGGGATTACTGGAGTCTGACTTCATTGCCGGGATTACTGGTGTCTGACTTCATGTGAGTTCTGAGGACTCAGCTTCCTGCTTGGTCAGAGCGTGCTTCTCCCATTGAGCCGTCTCCCCAGCAGGCCTCACTCCCAGGGTCACTGCTACTTAATGCTATGCTAGACCCCCGGAGACCGTCCCCTGAGCTTTAGTATCAAATCGTGATGTTTGTGCTTAGCCTGAGGCTATCTTAAGGATAGTATACATTTTATAATTAGTCATGTTAACCTTTACAGCTTTGTCCACCAAGAAGCTGAGAGCAAAGTGCGTAGCTGGCGGCTTCTGGTGACAAGCGTGCTGCGCCGGGTGAAGCGTGTGTTGTGTTTAATCCTGTGACATACGCTCTTTTGCTTCATCTTATTGTTGTGGAC